GGTTGGAACCAAAGATCTCAAATTTGGACTCATCAGACCAAAGCACAGATTTCCACTGGTCTAATGTCCATTCCTTGTGTTTCTTGGCCCAAACAAATCTCTTCTGCTTGTTGCCTCTCCTTAGCAGTGGTTTCCTAGCAGCTATTTGACCATGAAGGCCTGATTGGCGCAGTCTCCTCTTAACAGTTGTTCTAGAGATGGGTCTGCTGCTAGAACTCTGTGTGGCATTCATCTGGTCTCTGATCTGAGCTGCTGTTAACTTGCAATTTCTGAGGCTGGTGACTCTGATGAACTTATCCTCTGCAGCAGAGGTGACTCTTGGTCTTCCTTTCCTGGGTCGGTCCTCATGTGTGCCAGTTTCTTCATAACGTTTGATGGTCTTTGTGACTGCACTTGAGGATACCTTCAAAGTTCTTGAAATTTTCCGGATTGACTGACCTTCATGTCTTAAAGTAATGATGGACTGTTGTTTCTCTTTACTTAGTTGAGTTGTTCTTGCCATAATATGGATAAGAACAGTAGTCAAATAGGGCTATTCACTGTATAGACCTTTGTACCAACCCTACCTCTGCACAACACAACTGATGGTCTCAAACACATTAAGAAGGCAAGACATTCCAGAAATTAACTCTTGACAAGGCACACCTGTTAATTGAAAACCATTCCAGGTGACCTTATGAAGCTGATTGAGAGAATGCCAAGAGTGTGCAAAGCTGTCAAAGCTGTCATCAAAGCAAAAGGTGGCTACTTTGAAGAATCTAAAATATAATACATATTCTGGTTTGTTTAACACTTTTTTGTTTGCTACATAATTCCATGAGTGTTCCTTCATAGTTTGGATGTCCTCGGTATTAATCAACAATGTAGAAAATAAAAAAAATAAAGATAAACCATTGAATGAGAAGGTGTGTGCAAACTTTTGACTGGTACTGATACATATATATTATCAATGGTGCATGGAACACTACATAATGCCAGCCAAGGAGGAGGGATTGATTAAATATCTGACTTGAGTTCCTATGATGTCATTATGCATAATAAGTAGCCATATGTTTCTGTTTGTTTGAGAAGCAATGGAACATACAGTGTTAACAATGGACAGATAAAGAAGGATTAATCTGGCTCTGAGTAGATTCATGTCATTATAATTATTATTTTGAATGCATGTTTAAATTATAGTTAACCTAATATGTTAACTTGTTACTCATAATAATGATCTGAGGACAAAGGATATGATTTATTTCATTTTATTTGTTTAGGATAATTCCTCAGTATTGATTTACTTTTTCTGTTTATCTCCAGCACATTGGAATGACTTGTAAATAAATTGCAATATTATTGGTAAAATAGAAATCTGCCACTGTGCTCAATCAGCCTTCTGACTGTGGCTTACCTGCTCACTATTACTAACAACATGCCTTTGCATTTTTACATAGAACTTAACAACAGCGGCATCAAAGTGTTCCAGTGTATGATTTTAGACAGCATGCCGATCAAAATAGGTATGATGGGTCTGACGTTTGATATGACTGTGTCAGCCTCTGTGACATAAACGTATGTGTCAGCAGTGTTGTATAAACAATAACAGTGGCATGAACATGGCAATAACAATAATTTACTGTCTCTGTTATATGGTGGCTAGGGATGGTTATGTTAAAAATACTACTTCTCTTACTAATACTGCTTATCAGTCCAGTACTTTTACTATACTCTTATTGGTTCTTTTGGGGTTTGTTTTAAGAGAAAAACATGAAACAAATTAAGACCAGCATTAATGTTGCTTTATTTTCTAGGTATGTGTGTACAGTACATAAGTTCATATTCTGCAATGGCATCGTTTAGAATTCAATTTCAATTTACAATTTGATTAAGTCCATATCAAAAATCACATTTTGCCATTTTCCCTCACTTTTGTCTTGCTGTCTCTCATCCTTAGGCATGCCCAGCTTCATCAAGTCCCCTGACGATCAGACAGGGATTTCAGGAGGAGCGGCATCATTTATATGCCAGGCAGTGGGTGAGCCCAAACCTCGTATTACCTGGATGAAGAAGGGGAAGAAAGTCAGTTCTCAGCGCTTTGAGGTATGACTTAGGAGCAGGCCTCCAAGCTTCTTGTCTGATGTGTTAGAATGTGTAGCACTTCCCTGTCCCACATCCTTGCTGATCATTAAGCTCTCTGCATTCATGTGCGTCTAGGACCTGCACAGCAGCTTCCCTGTATGTAGTGCATGTTTGCTGAATGTCAATCAATGTAGTTGCAATATTCTAATGAGAATACCTGAGGCTCAGCATCACAGGGAGTATAAGACTCAGTGTCTGCACATTAAATAGTGGCAATGACAGGTTAGAGAGCAGAACTGTAACCCACTGTAGCTGAGCCAGCACATATGGTGGCCTGTTTATTCAGTGTGTGTGTAATGCCAAAACTATGACACCTCTTACGTCAGACCTTTAAGATTCCAACAGTTATCATTGATATTTAAGATCTGATATATTGACTCATCTGCTAAATGAATAAATTATGATTCGGCAAAATTACCTCAGAGCACCAAATACTTTAGTCTTTTTTTTACTTTTGCTATTTACTCTTTAAACTTTCAATATAGTACCTTTGGAACCAACAGTAAGGCCCAATCCCAATACCCCCCCTTGTCCACTACATCTTAGCCCTTGGCCTTACCCCTAGTCCTTGCCCACTACCCCTTGGCCCTCAAAATGAAGCAACCTTGGCCCTCAAAATGAAGCAACCAGGGGTAGGGGTAGGGGTAGGGGTAGGAATCTTTCCCTAGGAATTGGGACACCACTCACTACGTCACCGCGTCGGTTACATTCACGCATACGTAACTATTTTAAACAGGAAGCTGTGAGCCATCTACATTTCCAACTGGCATCTACAATGGAGTCTCATTCATCCTACCGATCACGTTTGCCGCATTCATCATGCTTTGTTTGATAAACGACAGACGACAGGGGGCTTCTGCTAGCTAGCTAACCAGCTGACATTATGAGGCAGCATAGTTATACTAGCTGGCGTGTTATCCTAATGTGAAAAATCCGACAATTTTTGCAGAACAGGACAGATGACAGACGTCAGATAGTGCGAGCTAGCTAGCTAACTAACAAGTAACCTGACGACGGTAACGTTAGCTATGTATGAACTTTTTCCCCCGTCTCTTGCTTGGTGGTAGCCATGGTGACGTCCACCCCTCACTGGCAAGTCAGCATCTGAAATCCCTCGCTCCAAAGGGCTAGTTTCAAACCCACTACCCCTCCTTATGCCCCCTACCCCTACACTCAAAAAGGAACTGGGACACCACTACCCCTCGCGGGAGTGCGCAAATATAGGGGTAGGACCATGGGGTGGGGCTAGGGGGGGGGGGGGGGGGGGGGTATTGGGACGGGCCCTAACCCTTCAGACATGGACCCTAGGTCTGTTTAGGGTTTTCCACTGCAAACAGTAATCTTAAACGTGGGTGGGGTTGTTGTCACTCACTGCTCCGTCCAGCACTCGCTGTATTTCCTCATCACCGGTGACCCAGAGGGAAGTCTGCATTTCAACACATGCCGATATTTTCAGAACAAAATACAATAGGCTGGAGTGAGAGGTTTGTTCATTTTGTCCTTCTCAGGCAAATGCAGGGATTTAGTTTCATAGTAGCCCACAGGAACAACACTCCGTAAACGCTTTTTTGTTTTGTACAAGTGAGGATTAGAATATATGCAATTCACATAATCCGGGCAAAATGAATATATATTTTTAAACACTTGAAGAACCTGTCATGACTAAAAGTGTATGACTTCCTACTATGGAAGTATGGAATGGTCAAACTTGTCATATTAAAATTTAAGCTGTGTTGATGGATTCATGTTGTCAACTTATTAAATGAGAAACATTACAAGTAAATGTTCCACCTTAAAAGTTGCCGGCTGTCGGCCCAGTGAATTAATTAATTTTTTTTCTCAGTCTACAGCTGCTGTGAGAGGTAGCAAAACATCCTTTAATTTTATAGTCATAGTTTACTAATATGTAGGCTTGCCACAGTATGAACAGTGTTACATAAGCCTAGAAAACCAGCCACAACTCAGCCCTGAGCAAGAGTGACCATCCTCTATTGACCAGTCAACAGACTGCCATGTTTTTAGCGTCACCTTTTAGTACCAGATCTGTGTGTTAGGTACCCCAACAGAGGAGGGACAAAAAATGAGGACTTAAAGAGGACATGAAACAATGGAACAGACACCAGCATAGGAGATGTGTGCATTATTAAGACATACTGACGAAATAAAAAGTCGGAAAAGTCAGCCTATTTTAGAGAAAATCCACTTTTTAAATGCATTTACGATATGTTTTGGGCCGTGCTCAGCGCCATCTTTATTTTACGTCACCTCCTACATCATCGGAGTGGTTGGTTGGTTTCACGATACTGTGTCTGTAGGCGAAAGAAGAAGAAGAAGCAGTAGTTTAGGAAATTTACGGAGTGAAAAGATGTCAGAGGACGAAGCTGAAAGATATATTGATCTATCATCAAACCCGATGGCCTATGCTTTTGAGCCAGTGACGAGGAGGAGGGTGGAAAGTCACAATTTTGCGGAGGAGGAGGCAGCTGCAGCTGCTCCGGACGAGGATGGCAGCCAGGAGAGGGTCGGCAAGACTGCATGCTGCATGTGCCAAAATTACTGTCCGAAACTAAAAATGAACCACAATCCATATAAACATCCGGGCCTGAGAGTTTTCACCTAAAACTCATGTTATCCCACACCATACAGTCAGTGGTCATCACAGTTGATGCAAACCACTAAAGAAATACTACTTACCGTGACGCCACGTTTTCCAAAGCAGTCAGTCAGGAATCCAAACGTAATAAAATCCCCATACATTAACTCCAATCCTGTTATCTTCCTCACCGTCATCCTGTTTATTCCTCTTGCCATGCATGCACCAAAGTTTTTTCTAGCTAGCTTTTCCTTCACATGGCTCGGCTGCCGAAAAGCTGTCACATGCGTCTAGTGGCAAATTAAAAAGTAAATATAGGCTACATATACATATACAGTACAGGCCAAAAGTTTGGACACACCTTCTCATTCAATGCATTTTCTTTATTTTCATGACTATTTACATTGTAGATTCTCACTGAAGGCATCAAAACTATGAATGAACACATGTGGAGTTATGTACTTAACAAAAAAAGGTGAAATAACTGAAAACATGTTTTATATTCTAGTTTCTTCAAAATAGCCACCCTTTGCTCTGATTACTGCTTTGCACACTCTTGGCATTCTCTCCATGAGCTTCAAGAGGTAGTCACCTGAAATGGTTT